CGGGGGCACCTGTGGCTGCCGCCTTTGTGCCCCGGGCAAGCCTCTGCCCGCGGCCGCTCGGGACCACCGCCGGGAGTTGCCCCGCAGAGGGCGCGGGGTGCCGTCGGGGCGCTTTCGCCGCCAGTCCCGGCGTGACTCACTTTGCCCCGAAGGGCGAGGGCCGCCCGCCCGTCGTGCCAGTGGCTCCTGCTGTGGCTGTTCCCGGAGCTCCGGGCCCAGAGGCCGGAGCGGAGGAGCCGCTTAGTTTCGACGCCGGAGGTCACGCGCTCTGTGCCCGGTTAAAGCCGCCTCGGCTCCCCCGGAGACTCTGTGCTGCAGATGTTACCGCGGAAAAGGCCGGAGCAACAGCGGACGCGTCGGGCCCAAACTCCTGGCTGCCTTAAGTCCAGGGGCCATGGGGCCCAAGGCGCGAAGAGCCTGGCGAATGTAAGCCGGCGGTCAGGTGGTCAGGTGGACAGGCGTCAGGCAGGGCCTGCCGCGTGCCCCTATTCCAGGACGCAGCCGCCCCCGCTGCCTGCCGGAGACAGCCCAGCCCCTGGCAGGGCAAAGCCCAGGCCTGGCCAGGTGTCAGCCCGCGCCGCACAGAAAGTCCTGCGGCCCCTCCGCCTCTCGGCTGCGCTGGCCATGACTGCCCCTGTGTGTCACGCAAGCGCACGTGTGTCATAGTGTGCCTGTCGGCCTTGACCTCGCTTGGCCGCTGTGTGCCTCTGCCTGGAATGCAGGGACATTCCCAGGGTTAGGAGATTTGAGGGGTTGAACGTGGGTGTCCCTGTGAGCAGAGGCCCCAGGATGTAGCGAGGAGTCCTCGGGCCGAGTCAGCTGAGTGTGTCTTTGCGCTGCTGACACTAGTCAGTGACAGCCGAGAGCTGCCTGGCTGAGCCCACAGGCAGCATCTTCTCTGAGGGGCACGTCGTGAGGGGCACGTCGTCTTCCAGGTGTGCCCCGCACGTGTCCCCTGGAGCCCAGCTCTGTCCCCCCGCTCACCACAGAGGGGTCTGCAGGCCCGAGCCCAGCGAGCACTGTGGGGACTGCTCTTCCTCTGTGAGCCTCACGACCTTTGCCCAGTGACCAGTGACCGAGTGACAGGAAGGGTGTGTGCAGGGTGGGGCGTGGGGCTTTCTGAGGAAGTGTTCTGCAGCCCAGGGGGCACTTGGCCCAGGCGCTGGGCGGCTTGCCGCCGGATGGAGGCTGGCAGGCGAGGTGAGCTTAGGTGGTCAGGCCAGCCATGCCCCACAGGAGACTGCGCAGGGCGGGGCCAGCGCTTGGGCCAGTGGCTGGGAGGACAGTTTGGCTTGGGGGAGGACGGAGGACAGTCTTGCGACACTGCTTCTGGGGCCGTGTGGCCAGCAGAAGCCCGGCCGTGCACCCCTTCATGCATCTGAGAAACTGGCCTGCACAGCCCGGCCGCGCTGAGCCCCCTGGAAGGCAACAGCTTCATCTTTAGGGCTGCCCAGCACAGCACTGACCAGGCTGGCACGGCCCTGCGCCGGGAGCTCTGCCGGCCCGGCCCCCTCCAGGCCGGTGTCCCCCACTTCCGGTGGGGCTGCGGCCTCCCCTGCACACGCAGTCAGGGCTGTGCTGGCTTCCCACTCTGAGGGCACCGGTGGCTGGCCTCCGCTCGGAACCTGCCCCCACCCCGCCTGCCCCCACCCAGTCAGCAGGAGACACTGGCAGCGGAGAGCAGCAACCCTGGTGGCCCGCTGCCGCCCGGCTGGCGCTCCGGGCCGTGTGCTCAGCTCAGCGTGCGCAGAGCGGCCAGGGCGCCGCCCTCCACGAAAGGGGGCTTTCCTTTTAAAGTTTTTCAGGGTTGTCTTCAAACTTAACAAAGATTTTAATTTTTTTAAAAGATGTATTTATTTATGCACACAGAACGAGGGCACAGGCCAGAGGTGCAGGGCAGTGAGAGGCTTCACCAGGGACAGAGCGGGGAGCAGGACTGGCGGGATGAAGCACACTGCTGAGGGGGCAGCGGGCGGTCAGGAGAGGTCTGCCGCGCCCTGGGGTCACCCCCTCCGGGTGGGGATGGAACTCAAGCTGCAGTGGCTTTAGCTTCACAGCGCTGCGCCACCAGGGAGGGCCCAAACAAATATTTTTAAAACTTGATTTCACCGACGCAGAACTGCTCGCAGGAACCTGGGCAGTGTCGCCTGGTGGCTGCCTGGTGGCCTGGACACACTGGACACAGCGCCTCCCCTTGCTTCCTGCAGGCCGAGCTGGGCTTGTGGGTTATTTGGACACTGGCGCTGTTCCGGGGCGCGAGGTCTGCAGCAGGTTTATTTTGGGGCAAGTTGGGTCATCACTGCACTCACGATCTGAAGAGACGCGGGGCCTCCCGGCGGTTACAGGCTGACACACAGACGGGCTTTCGTGTGGCGCCCGTCCCCACCTGGCCTTTCTCCCCGAGCTCGCTCAGCCCGGCGCTCGCCCGGGGGCGCACCGCGTGCACAGGGCGGCAGGTGGCTGAGCTCTTAAACACCCTTTCGCCGGGAAAGCCAGCCTTGTGCCCCAGTGCTGATTTACGCCCGATTTGACCCACTTCCATTTTAATGTTGACTTAATTCTGAAGGATCCTAAGTGCACACCCAGAGAGGCAGAAGCCACCACCCCTTGAAGGGGGGAACAGGGCAGGGTGGGGGGCACTGGGGTGGGGCTCTCTCTGAGGTCCTTCAAGTCGTACCTGGAAGAGCCCCCCACCCTCGGTCACCTTGTGGGGTGTTGGCCGAGAGCTCAGTTGCATCACACCCAAACGTTCTTCTCCCTCTTGGCGCCGACCTTCACTCGGTGGTACTGTTTGCTCTGTGGCCAGCCTGCCCGCTCCCCTCAGTGCCCAGGGCCCCAGTCAGGCCGCATCCGAGGGCCCCCGCGTGAATGTGTGTGGGCGGCAGGGTGCCCTCACGGCCAGAGGGCGCTTGGCACCACGTCTGTGGCCCGCGCCAGGCCCCTTTGCCTCCCCGGCCGTGCTCCCGGCCCCTCCTCGACTCTCCCCGGGCGGCCTGTGGCGTCCTGTCCCCTCTGTCAGGCGGGCGACCTGCCCCTGCTCCGAGGGAGCCCAGAACTGCCAGGGGGCAGGCGCCAGCAAGACCCACCGGGCACGGCAAGGGGCACAGGCAGAGAAAGCCTCCGCAGCGGCCACCTTACCGTGCACATCAGAGGAGAAAGGAGGTTGGGAAGCACCACGGGGAGCAGTCGGGCCCCCTCGCCCAGACAGGCCCGGCGGGCTGGGGCGCAGTGCCGAGCACGCCGGCCAGTCCCCGCCTGGGGTGACGGCGTCCCGGGCTTCCATGCCGCCGCCCGGCAGAGGGCGCCCTCTGGGCACCTCGCACGGCCTCCACAGGCCTCGGCCCCTTCCCGGCCACTGGCCACTGCCCCCGGAGCTGCGTGCCCCGGACCTGCCCCACAGGCGCAGGGTTGCGGGGCTTCTGGACTTTCTCCACGTCCTTCTCCCTGAGCCGGCCCGGCAGGTGGTGACTGCCTGTCTGAACCCCTGCAGCGGGTGCGCCTCCCCGCCCCCCTTCCTGAGCCCCGCTGTGCCCTTCTGAGTGGCCAGGGTCAGCTGCTCCCGCCTGGACCTTGGGCCCCACGGTCTCCTGGTTCTGTGCCGAGTCTTCCTCCTGGGTAGGGGAGAAGCGAGCGCCCTGCACCGCAGCCCTGCGGCCCTGGGGGCCCTGTCCTGCCCCCAGGTGGTGGGCGGGGCGGGGGTGTGGCTGCCTGCAGGGGGGTGCCGACCACAGTTGAGGCTGCCACTCTGAGCCGGCTCCTCTGGAGCTGATGGTGGCTCCTGCGGTGGGGTGTGGGCTTGCGGGCCCCCAGGCAGGGAGGGCCCGGGACCGGCTGGCCAAGGGCAGGTGAAGGGTGCAGCGCCCTGTTGACGCCCCTGCAGGTGTGGATGACAGAGGTGGTGCCGTCCAGCGCCCTCAGCGAGGTCAGCCTGCGCCTCCTTTGCCGCGATGACATAGACACCGTGAAGCGTCTGTGCGGAGACTGGTTTCCCATCGAGTAAGCGGGCCGTGGGCGGGCGGGGCGGCGCACCTGGGGTCACCCTGGCGGCTCCCTGAGGGCAGCCCAGCCCTTTGCACCCCACTGCCTTCCTGACCACAGGGCGTGGCTGAGCGATGCCTTGAGCAGGGCCGGAGGTGGGGGGCGGGGTGG